AACACGGGCGCTGCATCCCGGTCCCAGAGAGTGGACGGGAGATGCTGAGTCAGCCAAATCCCTCAGCTGCAGGCTGGAATTGGCCCCCAGGAGCACAATGTCTGACCCACATAACTAAATGCGAGGTATGAGCATACATTAAGTTTCATAGTACTTTACTTGTAGTTGAACTAACACTGCTAGTGACATTGTTTCCTGACTATACTGCTTTGATAAACTCAAAAATATTAAATCCAGTTGACAAACTGGATAAACAAAAGGATTTTAAAGTAGTGGCTGAATTACATATTTGAGAAGGTTGTCCTCATCGGCCCATGACCCTCTGAGGGCAATAAAAGCCAGGAATAATCGCCATTAAGTCTATTTTGTGAGGCAGCTTGCTGCTTAGTTAGTGAGATAGTAGTTTGTTCCCAAAGCAGGTTTAAAATCCCACATTGGTCATATTCTGGTCAGTTGAAGGTACACAGAGGCACAAACACACACACCTCACAAAAGGCAGTCAGATGTGTGGTGGCCCGAGGCTTACAAGCCCATGGCAACAGACCGTGCAACCATTGCCTCCCATTAACCTCCTCCAAAGCGGGAGGAGAGTACTGCAAACAGACAAGAGCTGAAGACTTTTTATATTTAGAGGGTGCACTACTGTGGCTCTGCTAGCTATCTGTTCTGTCTTTGTTCCACCTTGAGAGGCAGTGCTCGCAGGCTGTCAGTAACCCGGCAACAGGTAGGGTACTCTTCACTTATTGTGTGCTTTTATCTCAGAATAAATAAATAAATAAGACATGTTTCTGAGTTAAACATTTCAGGTAAACCCACTGACTCCTCTGGCGAAAATGGGAATCTGGAAATTTAAACTAATTACAAAGTCAACCCAGAAGAAAAGGGAGAAGGAAAGAGGAAGAGAAAACTTGCTTCTACAATTGCTGCCTGTAATTTTCAATGCTGTGGCCTAGATAAGCACTTGAAGGAGTTGGTTTTCAGATATGTGGCATGTTCATGCTCCCTCAGCTCCACTGTTCTGGTTGAACACTATCCCTACATTATTAGAGACCAACATTTGTATGAGAGCATCTTTTTGTCTGTTCTTGATTGTTGCATGGCTATTTTGTCATGATGGTGCAACATTGGCAGATGTACAATAATTATCGTACTTTTATGATCACTTTGCTCTCTGTACGATGTGAACAATAATGCAGGAATTCCCTTTATGTATGATACTTTCATGATTTAATAACAATATTAGTATATATAATAATACATATAGTAATATATGGATAATTTATCTGTGTTTACGCAAGCTTTTTGTGATGATGAATATTAATATTTGTGTAATCTCTTCTCACGTTACCTCTTTCCAGCCAATCTTGCTTTGTCCAGAGGTGGAGGATGTAGAAGACAAAGAGGGATTCAGAGGTTGTGCCTCTGAATCTTTCTCACTAGCTAAGCTCAGTTTATATGCGTCAGCAATGTGGCTAGATTTGTAAGCAGTGTCAGAAACCCATTCATCCAAACATTTCCTATGTTTTACGAAAGTACACATTTGTTTTCTTACAAATGACTCACAAACAATTATTTTCCCCAAAATAAGATAATTTTAAGCCTGATTCTTCAACATTTCCCATCTGGCAGCGCTGTGGCTGCAGCCAGTATCATTCTGCTATTGGAGAAACATGTTTTGCCTTGTTTATAGTTATTTAAACCAATTACAACACTTTTGGGTGGCATGAATCTCACGATGCAAGGAAGATGCCCCTGCAAAATAGGTCAGCGGGAACCTGTTTTGGTGGAACTTTTGCGTGTGGGGAGATGAGCATGGTGAATTCCCCATATACGAAATCCCACAAAATGAAAATAAATTCAGCTTTTTTTGCTTGTTTGTGCACATGATATCCTATTTGTTTCTCGCACTATTTGTGTAATGTCCCTCTGTAGGACTTCTTCCTTCCTTCCAAATCAATAATTCAAGGTGTTGTTTGGGCAGCGAGTAAACACTAAACAGGATCCTGATCTATTCGCATGACATGACCTCCATTATGTTATCATGAGGACATGAAGGTCATTGATTGGTGGGGAAACATTAGCGAGTGTCAAGCTGCTTCATCTGCAGCTCCATTTAATAGGCTACATGGTTGTGAAGAGAGGTAAGGGGATCAACTTGCTTCCTACGGTTTCTAATCGATACAAGTCACTAATAACAAAACTCACTGACCACATAAAAATTGATCTAAAAGGTAATTATTACTAAGTAACTTGATCATGAATTAACAGACTGAACTTGTAGGGACACTCAACAGAACCAGACATTCTAAACATTTATGGTCTTTGGACTTAGACCATTGCATTTTTCACTCTGAAGAATAAAGGCTTGTGTGTTCTTTTCCATGCCAGCTTTGATCAGAGCCCTGGAGGAAATGGTCATCTGGACTCTGTAAAGGAAACTTTGTCTTAATTGTTAAAACTAACACTGTGCAACCTGCGCTGTGTTATCCCTGGGTTACAGTAGGCACAACGGCAGCTGGCTCTATTTTGTTGTCAAATACAGGAAGGCAGGGAGGAGAAAAACAGCATGAAATCGTATCAGTAGAGAGAGAGAGGACACTTGGTATTATTAATAGTAACAGACTCATGACAGTGAACAGAGAGGAGCCTGTGTGAGCCGCCTTTTATTTCAGCCACCCCTTCCATATACCCCACAACTCCCACTTCCCTCCACCCCAGCATCTTATGAAATATGTACAAGGCAAACAGAGGTGGGGTTGATGCGCAGACCTTCCTCCTCTATGACTAACCGCTACACGTCCAGTACCATTACTTATTTATAAGGCATGCCGTGTAAGTGCCAGAGTGGCCTCGCTTGCTTTCCTCCACGCCATAAGGGCACTTTCATAACACCCTGTTTACATTTCACCCACCAAGAGAGGAGTGATAACAAAAAAGGATCTCCAATTAGTTACAGTGTCCAGGGCATGGTGAGACACTGGCGGCTGTGACACTTCTGATAAATATTTGTAATGTCGTAGAGGTCATTGGTTTGCGCTGGGTATCATCCAAAGTTATTAGAGATGAATTGAATACTTTTCCAAACTATAAGGTATGTGTAGAATAAGTGGGAAAAAAATTCCTTGTTCTTAAAAAGCTTTTTTAAAGTGATTACACTGAAGGAAGGAAGTCCTAATATGTTGCCTATTTTATCATTTGCATTTATGAAATCACATTTTTTGTCTTCTTTTGTAATTATTTTTTTCTCTTTATACATTAAAGCTCATAGGTTTGTTTTACTGTTACCAGGATTCAATATTAGAGCCACTGTGCATGGTTTGATCATTTTTGCAACACCATTCATTTTAGTCCATTTGATGATTTCAAACAGACATATTGAAAGGAATTATGAATTTACAGTGGCAGGATTAGACTCTCTTGGTGCATGTGGATTGAATAATAATAATTAAAATAAATTCTGACAAAATTACAGAAAAATCAATGAATACAGCAAAGCCTCTTGCATGGTGAGAGTATAGTGCAGATTTTCAGCTTGGAAATTTGGCTTCTCGAGTAAAAAACAAAACGTACTCATTGCCGCTTGCATAGAAATAAGTGGGAGGACTCATTGTCAGTAAGTGAACAAAGCAGTATGACAAGCCAGTACCCATCCCCACTGTGTTTGTAACACAGTAAAGAATCAGATCAAATCTGGATTAAGAATAAAATGCCTGAAGCATTTTACATGCACCTTCCAACTGTATGGATTGCAAGATGCAACATTCTTAACAAGGAACTCAATCTGGTGTAACTGTATTCTACTGGATTGTATTATTTACTCTGTGTTTACTCAAACCATGTAGCTTTAGACACTGACTTTATACCAAAGCTAGAAACTGATTACTAGTGAACTGACAAGTAACACTGTCACCTTGAAATATAATATGATAAAAACCATACAGAAGAAAGCTGTTTAATGAATATACAGTTTGTTAAGAGAAAGTACAGGCTGCTCAAGAACTTATTTGTGATAAATGTACATGTTTAATGTCCCAGAGTACTCAGATTGCCTCTGTGAATCTGAAAGCTAAGCATCCTCCTTCCCTTATAGCAATATAGGTCATATTTTCCTCCAACTCTGCCTCTTGAGTGTCTTAGCATGAGCCCTGCCCCATCTCTGAATGCCACCAAACACAGAGCTGGCCATACCACTTGGGACACACAGACAGTCATTGACACACACATTCCGACAGAAGCAGTGCCAGGCAGACCTCAGACATGTTACCATTACCATACTGCACCACTGTCTGGGACCTCCATTGCCACTGTATCCCCAAACCACTATCCAGTGCCACGCCTCATAGATCCAGCCTCAGGCCAGGCCAGCCCTGCCCAGCTGTGTGTGATCCAGGCCAGACCTGGCTGACACAAGTCCACCCTCCATCTATGCCATCCACTCCATCCTTCTCTGCATCTCTCACACCCTAATCTCTCTCATCACTTGTCTCTGGATGGATAGGGGTTTGGGATTGACGGCAGGCCCTCCGCCCGCCGTCCTTGCCATCGCCATCTGCTTGGTGAGCTCAAGGAAAGTGAGAGGAAGCATGGCGTGTGTCTGCCAGGCAGCCAGCTATCCTTGCTGAGGGCCGTTGCGTCCAAAAACGCTGCGCCGTGCCGCAGAACCTTAACTCACTGTCACAGGGCCGTCCAATGTGATTGATCTGGTCCATTTAGTTGGAGCAGCCAAGTCTGGAGGAGGCCTGGTCCTCGAGTAGCCCCTCCAGCCTCTCTCTGCCCAATCTAGTCCTGACATCCCAACTAGCACAACACAAACACTAGAGCCCTGCCAGCTGGCCCACAAGCTTGACATGATCTCCCTGCTTATCAGTTAACATGCCACGGGGCTAAAATCAGGCTTGCATGGCCTGCAGTTCTTTTGACTGTCCTATTGAGGAGTAATTGTACTGAATTGAATCATAGTAAATGTTCAAATTGCGATATGCTTTTAGTACATGATAATGTCATCCTGTTGGAAAAACAGGATATTTTATTTATTAACCACAGGATAGCTGAGGTTAGGGGAGTTAAATGCAATCACTCTGCACTGGCAAATTAATGCTCAAAGAGAAGCTTTTTATCAGTGCTATTAAATTGAAGTGATTCAAAAAGCAGACATTGTGCATTTCATATTTCAGCAAATCCCCCAGAATATTCTCAATACATTTATTAGCACCAGATGAAATGGAGTTTGGAAGAAATTAAAGAGGTCATCAGTACAGGTTTGTGCAGTTTCATTTTACATCCCTAATATTATTTCCTGTTCAGCATATTTACGTATCCCTATCCCTTTTATTGGATGGCTGGTGCTCTGGCTTAGCTCATTCCAGGGAAGGCATTTCATTGGTGTTTAGTTACTATGAAAATGGGTTCCCTAGACAGAGAGGTCATGGCCACAGTCCTTCATCCAGTTGCTATTTGCGCTCTGTGTGTATTACATCACTTTGAAATCAGGCAAGTCCAAAGCACTAACTTGCTCCCTTTTAACAAGCCCAGTGTTAGTTTTTGGGATTTGCCCATCGCCTGCTTTTACACTTTTCCTTAAGACTCCAACCACATCATATGGAGTTATTTTTCTTTTGAGACATGCGACTGCAGCAGAGGCTTCGATCCCGAGCTGCTCCATTTCACTACATAAACAGAAAATGATTGTAGATTTACCCTTAAGTCAAGTACGGTTTCCTTGATATTGTTGATATAGATGTGACATTTAACTGAAATAGACATTGCTTTAATGCTTTAATTGTGATCAGCGAGGCAAAGATACTGACCTTTTAGTTTCAGGCCAGGATTCAGAAGAGAAAGGGACTCCATGTACTGCACATATACGCTGAGTGAGTTTAAGACATTCAGGGAGGTTGTTAGGAAAGTTGCATGTCCTCTCACTTTAATATTTAACAAGAGGAGAGCTTTTCCCTCTAAAACTTTTCACCATCCTTCTGGTCACTATGTTTTTTTTTTTTCTCCTTTTGCCAAGCCCCACACACACACCCGCTTCTGTATTACCTTTACAGCAAAAGACAATATTTTCCATCAGACACACAGTAAAAAAAAAAAAAAAACTCCAAAAGCAAATATACTTACTCATCACCCAAAAATAATACTATTTACAGTTTCTGCTTAAAATGCACACATAAAAATGTTTTGACATAATCCATATTTTTTTTTTCAGTAGAGCTGTTGGTGTATAGTTGGCCAGTAAATCAACCAGAATTTGAACTCACTATTGTGTGACGTCCTAAGCAAACTCCCTATCTAACTGAGGCAGTTGAAGCATTCGTCTGTGAGCTGTCCAAGGACCACCATGGGAACTTCACTAGAGGGGATGGCTGGAAACATTGTGGGAGTGCAGTGACAGTTGGGGGACTTTTCTCATGTGAAAAGGGCCTAGCCGCTCCATACAAAAACACGCCACTACAAACAAAAAGCATCCGTGACCCAATAATGAGGAACGCTGAGTTTGATCATTTATAATGGAAAAAAAAAAAAACCTAGCAGCAGACTCCCTCTTTTTAAATCATTTTTTTCACCTTCTACACATTTGTAATTGCAGCCAGGTTAATTAAAGAATCCTTTTCTTAATTCCCCCCAGAATATAATCATGACAGTTTAACGAGAAGCAAGGTAATATGATCTCATATTTTTGTTCATCGCTGCAAACCGTGTTGCAAAGTAGTTTTAAGCGTGTCTCCAATGGTGACATCTCATCATGGCACAGTATGAAATGGTCCTGAAGTTGAATGAGACTCAAACAAAAGCGTGAGGGAATTAGTATATGCGAGGCACATTTCCAGAAAGTGTTTATGTTCTTCTTAAAGCCTTTCTCTGGCAGAAGCGATTACATGAACGTCTCCTACTTATTTGTTTTCATCTGAACATTTGGCTGAGGGGTTTATCCATCTTGACAAGCACATAATATGGCTTTTGGTGCTGTGAGGGAGAAAAACGAGAGCGATCGGAGGAGAGAGAGGGGAGAAGACGTGAAAGTTAAAATAGAGGCTCTATGGTGGGGTTTTATCACTTTTCTTGCTGTTCCCTTCCTCTCTTTAACAACATGCTTAACTCCCCAAAGATGTGTTGAAAGATCACAATAATCCCCTCGAAATGACATTAGTCCTCACTCTGCTCTTTGAGTAGGTGGAATGTAGCGGAGCCAAATTACTGAAGACACTCTAGGGTGTTGGGAACGATGTGATAAACACATAAAGTTCCCAATGTAATTTGATTAAGTCTAAAAAGTATAAATATGGTCTCTGCTCAGCATTCCATGCTAAGCCAATTAAAAGCTCTACAGTAAATGAATTTTTGTCTATATGATAGTTTTACTTGACTTCCTCAGCAGTCAAAAGGTATAGTTGAAAATTCATGATGGTATAGCCTCTGCTTCACCACTAGATGTCACTAAATCCTACACATTAAGCCTTAAAGTAAGGTTTAAGTATTTAATGTATAATTTTAACCCTTTGATTTTATTGATCAGAATCCCTCAACTTCTGAAAATACAACATAGAAGAAAATGTCTTTTAAGAAAAATGGATATAACTATTTAGAAGGTTCTTTGTAAGACTTAATGCCAAGGGGCCAGGGCCAATGAAAATGAAATTTCCCAAGTACACATCTACAACACAAAGGTTTCTCAAAAGAAAAATACTGCTATCCTCTCTGAATAAAACCAGCCATAAACAGAAATAAGCCCCTGTTGCAGGCCTGTGTGCAGATCTGATGCCATGTAAGGATGTGTGTGGTACCTCAGAGCAGCCGATGATGTCTTCCATCAATGAGCAGCAGCTGGTTACTCCTCCATGACACGCAGTTCAATGGCAGTCTGTCCAAACGTGGTCCTTATGTCCTCAGATGACGAAGAGAGAGAGAACTTAATACCTTTTAATATTATTCATTCCTCCTCATTTTGCCTTGGGGGATTTGGTGTGAAGCACTTTAACCTTGTTTAGATAAGTGCTTTACAAAGTTATAGTTATTATCCCTGGTCACACAGTGAACTGTCGGGTGAGGCTCTGTACACCATTAGCATCAAGCTAGCAGAGATGCTAAACGACAGCTAATCAGCAGGCTAACAGCTCAATTAGTTGCGCTTTGCTCCCTAAACCCCGTCAGACAGTCAAAGCAAGGACTCAATAGCTGCATTAAGACTATTTACAAATGTGTCAGGACACTTTAGTGACAGAAATCCTAATATCTGGCTTACTGCGGTGGTTGTTAGCATTGGACGCACACAACTTCCCACAGGTGCGACACTCACGCACCGTCTGCTGGCTCCCTCTGTTAGCCCCGCCCCTAAACCAATCATGTTGCTGGAAACGGATGGTCTCTGTAAAGCGACCAATCAGATAAACGAAACACATGCAAGGTAGTCTGTCTCACGAGGGATGTTCTCTCAATCGAACTATAGAAAAAAAGTTACGTTCTTAAAGGGATAGTTCACCGAAAAATGAAAATTCACTCATTATCTATTCAAAACTATGCCGATGGAAGTTTGAGTGAAGAGTTTGAGTTTTAGGTGTAAACAGTGTTGCAGCCAACTTTATTAAAATTAAAGTGACTCGGGACTACTCTTCATGCGTAAATAAAAATAAAAACAAAATGCCTCTATACTGCTCCTGTGGTGTCATCCAAGCCCCGACATGACACAACCTGATCCGTCAGGCTCCAATCACATGACTCCCCTTCCGGAGGAAATCAACAAGTATTAGCCTTGGATATCAGTGTAGAATACAATGTGGATAATCAATTTTAAGTATTGCTAACCCTGTTGTCTTTGCTAACAGCTGTTGTGCAGTTAAATTCTGTATTGTACAATGATACAACGTCTCACATGCACAGGACACAATCTTATTCTCAAGCACTTCCTGCACGCCCAGTGTACATGAGTGGTCACGTGATATGGTCACGTGATATGCGTTTTCAGGCGTGTTAGTATGGATGGGGATTAATACTGATACAGAGCCAAAATGCTGGTGTGGACAGAGATCATTTTAGCTTGAAAATGCCGTTCTCCAGCAAAAATGTTGTGCTCTAACAACCAAAACCACTGCAGTAAGACCTCAGGTCAGGAAACTTGTTATGCATTTGCTATGTAGGAAGGACAACAAAAGGGACATTTCTTAATATTGCCTGGTTGGATTGTCCTCTGACGCACTACCTCAATCACTTTGCCACTACTTGAAGCAAATTCTAAATAGAGCATTACAGACAGTGGACCTCTCCCTCCACCAACGGTGCATTTTGAACATTGTGGAAAAAGCACCAAAGTGCTTATTTCGATTCCATCAACCTGGGAGGCTGGACTGGAGTGCTCAGCTCCTAAAATTGCTGCCAAGACATGCCACTGACTTTTCTAACCAGCTTTTCACTTACAACAGTATAATACAGGAGTGAAGAGAGGGCACTTTTTTCTTCTTTCACTCTTTGTGGGGGTGTTTATGTCGAAAATATCTGACTCCCCTTTTATTTTTGACCAATTTATTATCTATCTATCTATCCATCTATCTATTTATCTATCTATCTAACTTTATTAATTTGTGGTATGCTGTATCCCCCTGGTGTATGCATATATCAGACAGTGTTTTTTTTGTTGCAGCCCATATAGTACTGCATGTGTGTGGCTGTCTGTATGTCGATCCACTTCCCCTGGTGTGTCTGAAGTGTTGGATAATTAGCTGCCTTATCAGCCTGGGACACGGGCAGCCTCCTCACCACTGACAGGTCATGGAGCCCAGGACCAGCGGGAGGTTGGAGACAAGGAGGAGGTGGGATGATAAGGCCACAGGAGGAGAGACAAGGAGGAGAGAGAGAAAGAGAGAGAAGGAGCCGGGTGGTGGAGGTGGTGGTGGTGGTGGTGGTGGTGGTGGGGGGGGGGGGTTGTAGACAAGCAGACAAAAACATGAAGTAGAGAAATGGGATGAGGAACCAGACAGAGGAGGAGACAGAGAGATGGAGCAGTTTAAAAAAAATGAAAAAAGAAGCGGAGACAGTTAGGCCCCGCAAGGACAGAGCAGCTGCTCCAGCCTATCAGCTCTTCCACGAGACCTCGGCACTCATTAGCATAAATTCGAATGACAAATGTGGCCCGCTTTGGCAAAGACTAATTAATTCATAGAGAGGGGAAACTCACCAGAGTAAGAATTCAAATCATTCACTGCCACAGGCCTGAACAAGTGTTAAGAGGGAGCACGTTGAGGGACTATTGTGTTATGGAATTACTACAGTTGCCTTACATGTCCTGAAAAGGTTTCAGCTTTCATTCATGATTTGATTTGTTTAGGGGGGGTTTGAGTATAGTTTTTTTTCAGTATTCAGCTTGAGTTTTGAAAAGTTTGTGAAGGTGCTTTTTTCAATATTCCATATATACACTGTGTATGAGTGGGTGTGATTAGGTTGATTAGACTGATAGGTTGTGTTTGGTATATTTTCACACACACACACACATACACATACTCAGGACTTCAACATTTAAAAGAAGGAACAATGGACTGGAAAAGATTGCTGCTCTCTAAAGTAATGGCAGCCTGCATTGAAAACACAGGGAAAGGATAAGTGCTCCCCCTTGTGTTCAGCACTCATACTCCTGCCTCTGAAACCTGTCTCATTCTGGTTTCATGAACTATGATCATATCTGTGGAACAGCACTCTCGCTCATATTAAAATGATATTGCATTCTGTCACTATGGATACCTGCACAATGTTTTGCACATCACATTCGACCTCTTCCTCTTAGTCTCAGCACCGCAAGCATTACCTCATTTTATCCTCCGTTTGATTGTCTGACATCGAGGTACCGTCTGCCAGTGAAAACGTCTGTCTCCTCAACTTTTGTTAACAAGACGATCATTCCCTGGGATTCTGTGCAAACTGAATCAATCCAACATGTTGGCATGTGACACCGAGTGGTGTGGGGGGCCTAAATGATCCATTTAAATGAGATTATAGATTGAGTATCTGCTTCATGCCGCAGCTTGTGTTAGCCCTCAATCCTCTTTGTTTTCCACTTTACAGGAGGCCTGACTGGTCAGAACATCTGGCCCTCATCAAGTCCAGGTGTTCCTGCTACAGTGAGAGTGTGTATGTGCTTGTGTTTCAGTCAGTGTGTGTGTGTTGCAGAGTGCCTTCTCTGTCTTTCACCTTCTCTCGCTCGATGTCTGTTTCACTCTCCACCTCCTTATGTCTCCTGTCTTCTCTTTCCTTTCACTCCCTGATCCAAAGCACACCATGCTTGGCCAGGTGCAACCGTTTTTCTCACCAAATCCCCCGCTAAAGACCCCACAATGGTTGCCCAAGAACGCTCCCTGCTAAACCAGGCTCTTCCTGCTCCGTAATTACATCAAAACAGAACATGTTGAGCAGTGTGAGGACTATTTATACATCCACTTCGAGAGCCAGTTTTCAGTGTCTCTGCTTCCAAGGAACATCCTTCTGCATGACTACTGTGCGTGCGTGGGTGTTTGTGTATGTGTGAGAGTCAAGGCGAGTGCTGGAGGAGTAAATGGGCGGCGGTTGCCGGATGTAGTGTGATTCTCCAGGTGGCTCACAAGGGCCCCCGTTGCCGCTGCCCCATTACCAATCACGAAGCGACACCTGTGAAACACATTATATCTTGACCAAAACACTGAAAGTGGGTGGTGCTCTCTTTGTGTGACAGTGGTGGACAGCTAAAGCGATTTTAAAGCAGTGCTATAACCAACTGTTGGTTCAAAAGGGATCATTCATGCAAAGCCACAACTATTACAGGCCTACTATTCATATCTTTGCATGAGGCCATCATAATTTCCATACTAGCCCTGTATATAATATGATTGCTCTCTGGTTTAAACTACAGAATGGTCTTTGTTGGACAGATCTCATAATCATGTGATGTTTCAGGCTTTAATGGGCTATTACACTGTGGGACCAGTCATTTATTTATCTAATACCATCGCTGCCATGGCAATGGCACCTCATTCATTCTAGCATGGTGTTATTTAGGATTTCTTCACTTTATTTGACCAAATCTCCACATGTGCAGAGGAAAATTACTTGGACCTTGTGTTGAGAAAGGAAGACACACATGAAGTTTGAAAACTAAGGGACCTTTTTTCTTTTTCATGTCTAATTGTGTATGTGAATAATAATTGAAATATTACACTTTCAAATGGATGAACATGGTAAAATAACAACCACTTTAAGAGCTTTACACAACACCTATAGACAAAGATTTTCTGTTTGCAGGACTATTCTATCACACATCTTTACAAACACACATCATGGGCAAATGGGGTTCAGTGTCTTTCTAAATAGTGGAGAACCCACTCTACCTCCTGAGCCACATCTGCCCACAGCTGCATAAAAATAAGGATGTCTCATTCGAACACAGTAGAGATGCAGAAGACACAGAGAGAAGTGATCAAGGGGCAGGATTTATAGTTTTATAGGCGTGGGTTTTTATAATAAAGACATACACAGTTAAAGCTCTGCAAAAAAACACACCCGGAGGAAAATATGGACCTAAACATGTTTTCACAATTAATGTATGTACATTACATCTGCAGAACAAATCTCTATGAGTAGCACGCAGTTAATTTAGAAGTACATCCATCAATTATTATGTCAAAACATAGGACAAGTGGTATGTTATCAAACTGAATGTGCCACTTGACTGTTTAGGTCCAATCGCAAATAAGTTATCACACTTGCGGTAAAGTTCAAGTTGAATAACAATCCTTAAATCGCACCCCCCTGAGGCCCAGTCACATCAGCAGTGTTGAAGCGTTTGAGGTCTAAAGTCATGAAGTTATGATCAAAATCATGGCTCAAAAATCAAATCTCAGCCAAACCATTGATTTAACTTATTTTTAACAGGGACGGGGAAAACAGCGAAGATTAACATCCACTTCCCTGAAGGAAGCTCTCTGATAGTCTTAAAATAACAAAATTTGTACTTTAGACTCGAAGGTATGGCTGTTGCTATACCTTGCAATCCCCTGCTGCCGCTCATACGGAGCAGGGAGTGGGAGTGGAGTAATCTCGGGAGGAGGAAATGGTTTCATGGCTGAGCTGACTGTTTGAATTAGTGTATCTGAAATGGGCATCGTCTGCTAGCACTCTGACATGGTGTTGCTCGCGCCTTTGGCATGAATCCATCCCTTCAGACTGACACACGCGCACACACTCCCATATTCACACACACAGACACATGCTCACACAGTGACACACACACGTCGTGCATTTAGCTTGCCTTGCTTCGACCTCCCTGCTGTGTCTGACACAGCACCCATGATCCTTTGCCTCACAGGCGG